AGAGTGGGGAGGTTGAGGCTGCGGAGTGACACCACCTCACAAATGAGATCCTACATTGAGGGCAGTAAGCAGCTGCTTTGGATCAGCTTCTGACACATTTTCAGTCCGCTTGTCACTTGAACTGAATGTGTGTGAACAATGATTTTTTAGCTTTAGTCTTTCTGCTTAAGGCAATCTTGTAGGAATAGTTTTGTTAAACAGTACTTTTACAAAAGACTTTCTGAAACAAAAACCTTTTATGATCTCATTTACAAACAGCTATGACCTTTTTCCCAATTTTATGCTTACTGGGCTAGAAGAGAGGCAAGGCAACCATAGACTGAAGGGGTATACATATTCCCATTCTGATTGGATACAAGTAATGAAGCTTTGGTTTTCTGATTGAAGAGGTCTGCACTGGCTTTCATAAAAGCTTTTTCCACATCTCTGTCAAAATATGTATCTTCAAGTTTTATGTCCCTATTAAGAAAAAAAAAAAAAAAAAAAAGGAAGACAAGTTCAGAAACAGTTACTAAAATAGCAGAAATCAAAAACACACCTTTGATGTGTAACAGGTTAAGATTATGTGAACAAGGAAGACAGCAGCCATTCTTACCTGAAAGCTTCCAGGCCACTGAAAACACCATTTGCTGTTTCTGGGTTCTGGTCACTGAGAAAGTCATTCAGCAAGAGTCTAGCCACTGACTTCTGTACCAGTTTACAGTAGGGAGAATGAAAGATCATGAATCCAAAGTCATTCAAGGTGAAACGTCTGTCTGTCCCCTCTGGAAGTGGCAGAAGTGTTGTGTTACAACCTATGTTTAGTACTCACTTCAACTATGAAAATAAAACGGGGAGCTGGCAGGACACCAGTCATCCTAACATGCCTGCATCCAGGAGACACCAGTAACACTTAACTGCTGCTGGCAAGTTCACTTATAACACTGCTGCTGCTTCTAGTTAAAATTTAGTTTCTTACACCTTTTGCACCAGCTGACAATGTTTGCTCTTATTCTAGATTAGCAAATTATAAGCTTAACAGAGTATCTGTGCATCTACCCAGTGTTCAGACATAATAATCCACTTCATTCAACTCTCTTCACACCTAGTCCTCTTAATATGAGTGAAGCAATTACTAAACATATTGCATAAAAAACCAAATTAGTATCATTGAATTTAAATATTAACTTAAGTTTCTTAAATGCCTGGATGGAGGGGGGATAATAGCATGCTCTTAATCAAGGTATTTTACATTACACCAACAAATGCCTGTAGGGACTAGTGTTTACAGACTGCAGGCTTAGCCACACCAGAACTGAAACAGGTAATATTTTACAGGAGAGAGCAAATATTTCAATCATCTCAGAACACACAAACATGAGGAGACCCATATACTGGTCTTTAGACTGGATACTACAACTTGAAAATACACCCTCTGTGTAGTCACACATTCCATACTTGCCAGATCTTGCAGCACTGTCAGGAGAGGCTACGTACCCTTCTGCCACTGGGCGTGGATTTTGTTGCGATAGACAGTATAGCAGCGATCCAAAGCACTGAGGTAGCACTGTATAGAGAGTTTGCCATCCACTACAGGATATTCAGAGACCATATCTGGTTTATAGAAATCATAGGCATGCTGCATGTGGGTCCCACGCAACCCTGAGGGATAGAAAGGGACCAAAGTTGGTATTGACTTTATTCAGCTGCTTCCAGTCAAATGGAATGCATCAGTCAGCACATGTGGGGAAACGAGCAGTTTTGGCCCCAGTCAAGCAGGTTCTCATAGCACTTCAGGACCTTGAAGGTAAGGTTTCACACAGTTCTCAATTGCTTGTTAAGTACAGTAGGGCTAAGCATGGCAAACACAAGCAACAAAGGATTGCTGTAATACTGTCCTGCAGGCAGAACGTTGTGTTAGTCAGCTCGAGTCCACTCTGTCAATTTTACTGGAGAATGCCCAAGGAAATAGATAGGAGCATCTCTAGTTATTTTCCTTGCTGTATCCTATAGTGGGACTTGGCTGAGTTAGCCTACAGCAAGAGGAGACATAATTTCTGACATTAGTGGGAATTCACCCACCCCTCCAGCAAGACACAAAAAACAGAGAACAGCCGTCAGAACAAATCCAGTTATCTGCCTGAATGGTACTTGTTCTCCCACAGGACTGACCTCTCTCAAAAATTAACGGCGCATTGGGACCGACAAGCATAGCCACAGCACCAGCTCCACCAGTTGGCCTAGCATTTCCAGAGGCATACACAGCAATGTCTCCAGCCACAACAAGGGCATAGCGACCTGGGGAAAAACACACAGGAAAAAACAGTGAGACGCAGCCAAGAAACTAGCACATCTTAACAGCTGTCAGCAGTTTTTAGACTTTGGATATTGAGGAGATGACACCAAGATTAAGAGGCTCTTCCATCCTGAGTTTTCCCCCACATTTTAATTTTCTGGCAGCCACCAAAATTTACAGGCAAAGACCAGTGATTACCAGCTATGTTGTTATTCTTCTCACTGTAACTGAACTAGCAGCAAATGCACAGAGCATTTAAGAAAATGACTTCAGAAGAGAACAGTTTACATGGTTAAACATGGACAGCCACTGTAGACTGATGTAAGGATGATGTAACTTTCCAAGAAAATACCCTGAACTTACCATCCCAAGAACTGGACTCAATCCAATTGATGGCATTAAAAAGAGCTGCAGTGCCTCCATAGCATGCATTGGTGGTGTCAATTCCTTCTACATCAGTGTTACCAGACTCTTCAAACAGCTGCATCAGGACAGTCTTAACAGACTTCGATTTATCGATTATTGTCTCCGTGCCAACTTCTAATCTCCCAATACAATCATAGGAAAGGCTGTTTCTTTCCATGAGCTTCTGAACCACAGTCAAGCAGAGAGAATTGATGTCCTCTCGGTCAGAGCAGAACCCCATCCTTGCCTGGCCTAACCCAATGGTGTACTTCCCAGCATCTACACCATCATACTTCTCCAGCTCTGTCTGGTCAACATACTGGGAAGGAAAATATATTTCCAGTGCCACAATTCCCACATCTTTGGGCCAACAGGATTCAGCATTCAATGGAAGTGACCCAGGCATCGTGGTAGACCTTTAAGAAAAAAAGAAAACCACAAAAGCAGCTGATTTATTCACATCCATTTTGAGGGATCTACTTTCAATTTCTGTAGTTTTATAGAAAATGTCGTAATTTATGTATTCTATGATGTCATTAGCAGAATGATGAAAGCCTTTGCCTCTGGCAAAACTCCGGTCTGAGCATACTGTAAACATCACTATTCATTCTGTAACTTTTTTTATTTAAAAGTACTTTTAAGTGCAAATACAAACTTCAGCCCTGGAGATAAAGACATGTAAGTTAAGCCCAAATTCACAGAATCATAGAATCAATCAGGTTGGAAGAGACCTCAAAGACGACCGAGTCCAACCCTACGGTTGTTACTAGACCACCAAGTGCCACATCCAGTCCCATCTTGAAAACCTCCAGGGACGGCGAATCCACCACCTCCCTGGGCAGCACATTCCAATGCCTGATCACTCTCTCTGTGAAAAAATCTCTTCCTAATGTCAAACCTAAACCTGCCCTGGCAGAGCTTGAATCTGTGCCCTCTTGTCCTGCTGCTAGTTGCCTGGGAGAAGAGACCAACCCTCACCTGACTACAACCTCCT